AAAAAAAAAGCCGTCGGTTGTCTTTTTTCGGTTGTTCAAAATCAATCACTTTTAATTCAACGGAACCGCGTTGGCCAAGACAAATGCACTACTTCGTAGAAGGAGACTTCTTCTCTCAAAAGATATAATGTACTGCCAAACTTCTGGTTTGGTAAAGCCTTGTTCAGGTTTGGATTTTCCTTTTCTACGATGTTTTCTTATCATGCTGATTACAAATATACCATTCATATCCATTCAGGGAATTATCTATCTATGCTTATATGATGACACTTCTTAGAAAGTATTTGTATTTCTCAATTTACTAGATTTTCTTGCTCTTTGCCTCAAAGTGCTGGTTGATATACAAAGTATGCCGATAAGAAATACAACAATTATATTCAAAGAGCCTGCATCTACTACAACTGGATTTCCGTAGTGGGAACTTTCAAAAGCTAAGCCCTATTTCTTAGGAAAATTTTTGAAAAAGCGAATATGGCTGATAGCTTAAGAATTAATGGCATAGCCGAATGTACAAGTTGCTTTAAACTAAGCCATCTTCATTCTAATGCAGTGTGACGCAGGACAAAGTTTTAGTTCATGTAGAGTACTAGTTAACCATTGTATGGATTAGAAAAACTCTAAAAATACAGATAAGTTATTTCCAGCCAATAAGTGAGTATTTTTTCTACCTATACGAATTATAATTACAATCTAAGAATTAGAAGTGTTGAGCTTTATGGAAAACATATGCAGAGACTTAGCCAATCATGTGGCTTCTAGTTGTGGTCATGCATGTACTCGAAAGAAAAACGCCAACATGAGTTAGGTCATGCATAAGTCTCACCTATGTAGGCAAACGTTGAATGGTTGCTTCGTGATTCTGGCAGCTATCTCACTAGGTTTGTAGTGTTCAGCATCTCGTCGTTCTGGATCAAACAACTGATAATATTCTTTCCATCTAGAACGTGTAAGTAAATTAAGATACTAATTTTCTTCTTTTTCTTTACCTAAACGGCTCTTTCTGATCTGCCGCCATCCTGCCAAGTACAGTTGCTGATGTTGTATTCTCAGGTATCTGTACACTACTGTGCAAAGCAACCTCTGCCTGAGAAAGTAAGACTTCGCGCAATCAAACAGAATATTATGGCGAATGCAGTCATACCTCGACTATGCTGTGGTACTCCAGACGGTACTTGAAGAACACAAAGTAGACGAGATTACCCGACC